CACGTCCAATAATCTCCTGTTTGATTTAGCTATCGGTAATTCCGCATTATCGGCAGTTCGTCTGAACGCCTGATATCCTTATCGGCGGATCGATAGCTGGCATATTTCTCCATAGCAACAGGTCAGGTGCTCCTTTGTTGAAGCCATGGCTGGTCTCATCTAGCATGTTAACCGAACCCCGTCTCCCATGGCTTTGATCCGTGCTCTGTTTCCCAATTTGCCCTGGTGTGAGGCTGTCCCAACATGAGCGAAGTGCCCGTCACTTGTGTATACCTACCTTCCTCTGTATTCCTGGCGCTGATGGCTGTGACCACCGCCGCGGTTCCGCACTGAGCCAGCCAGCCCAATGACTCAGCCGTGCTGGCTCGTGCTGTGTCGCAGAAGACTTCTCCTGCTGCTGACGTGACCGCTACTCGTGCCGAAACCTGTGCTAGGTCACTGCTATAAGTGACCTTGAAAATTGCAATGGTTAGCAAATTTACGCCGGTGAATCTGAGAATCCTCTATCCTCAGGTAGGGTAATGTCATGCAGTTGATCTCTATGCCAGTTGCTACATACGCAATCGTATGTATGCACGACCCCAATTGGTTATTCTTCCCACTCATTTGATCCCTCTTTATGCGACCGTCCAGAAGTAAAAGCCTAGCGAACCGAGTCACGGCACACTTTGCTCGTCATGGATTACGTCTTGCGGTCTTGCCTTGAAAGAGTGCTGGAGAACAGTCATGGTGAAGAGCCATGGTCTATCGAACCGGCCACGGCCTCGGGATCTGACCTGACCTGGGCTGAAGGGCTGGCATGGACTGAACGACAAATCTGGGCTGGCCTGGGGTGACCTGGGCGGAACGGCTGACTTGAGCCAGGCTGACCTGATCTGGGCCGAGATAACCCTGACTAGGCTAGAATAAACCCGAGTCCCTTTGAGGTGACGAATCTGACGTTCTGTGACGGTTGTGACGAGCGGCGATAAGGAACTTTATCTCCCTGTGTCACGGCGCGTGCCATGCCGCGTCTTGCGAGACCGGCGTGACGGTGGCGTGACGGGAGTGGTGTGATGTTTTGCGCCGCTCGGTGACGGACATTGGTGACGAGTGACGTGTTTGACAGTTGACACTGTGTAAGATGAGACTACGAGACCAACCCGCCGTCAAGGGGAGTATAATAACAGACGCCACGGGACCCCTGTAAATCCGTGTTTTTCGTCGTATTCTTGGTCTACCCGGCGTGAGAGCATGATAGATATGTGTGGCATTATTCGTTACGGATGTGACATGATGAACTTGAATGAATTAATCATGTCAGGTGCGTCACGAATAACATCATGGCGTATGACGCTCGGGTGTCTGAGTGAAAGTCTTTTGTAACGCTGTGATACGTTAGTGCCGAATTGCTCTAACCAAACCAGCATCTGTATCCTGGTGGGGGTGTCGTGTTCCGTCTGTTACCCAATACGCTATGTCGAGGAGCAGCGTCCGTGACCACCGTATACCGACCGAGTGGGTGTCGTCTGGGTGTGTGGCCCGGACTGTGGAGCGTAGGTCGGTCACGCGTGGCACTTTGTCTCACCCCACCGCACGGGTCCGGAACCCCACAGGGAGTTCCGGCCAGTCAGCACGTGTCATATCCCGCTTCCTGTCTGATCACGGGGAGGAGGAGGTAGCAGGAACAATTAAATAGCTTCCCATTATCAACAGGCTTAGCATATGCATGAGAACTATCTTCGCTAATGGTGCTGAAAGCCGTATGCTGTGTCAGCAATGGATGGCTAGAATTTACAAAGTAAGTTTTTGCAACTCTTTATTGAACCTTCAAAGGATGACAGTTTCAAAGGGACTCTCCGAATGGTGTTGCACCATCCCATCGCTGGTGACACCAAGTGACGAGAGTTTCACTCAACAACAAAGTCGTCCCCATTTTCTTTGTATTTCATGGATTCCCAGATAAGATAGCTGAGACACCGTAGGCTTCACCGGTCGCTCGGTCATACTCATCGGTCTCCTATCTGCCATGGTGTTTCGAAATCTTTGTTTGCGTCCGTGCTCAGTGTGGTTGCGGGTCAGCGACTGTGGGTAGGGGGTTGGTGGCCGGCCCCTCTCGCTCCTATCGTCTGGCAGTCTACTGCTGACGTCACGGCGTCGAGAAGCTGTGAACAGTGCGTCACGGATACGTACCTGACGTCACGGGACGGCTAATGTGACGGGTTAGTCGAGCACGAGGCGTCACGGCCCCACCGAACACGCCCATCCCATCCGTCCTTCTTTTCATCGGGTTCCGTCTGTCTCTCTGTTCGTCAGTCTATCAGCGGGCCTTTGTATCTTTGCACGCGTGTGAGCGACACGCGCGACACAGTTATGATTGTGTGCGGTCTGTGGATTGCGTGCGCCGTGCGACGTTAGAGCCTCTGTTGTGGGTCGCCATCTCGAGCGTTCCCTGTCGTCTTTGTGGTCGGGGACGCGTCGCGTTGCCCGCGCGCCCTCACGCTCGGTGGCAGCCATGACCGGACCGATACGCTATCTTATCAGGGCGACGGGCGGTGGAGAGGCGGGCGGGGGGGGGGGAAGGGCTCCTGGCTCCGGGTTTAGCCGCCGCCAGCACCGCGCGCCCACACACATTGGGACGGTGATTTCATGAAGAAGCATAAAGACATACTCAGCACCCGGTTCATCCCCACTAAATGCGGAATAAGTACTGAACTGCCTGAAAGGTGACCATCTGTCGGTGACATTTTCTGTCCGCCCCGCTTCTGGCAAAGGAGTTTATTTATTTATTTCACGTCGTGAGGCATTCCATCATACAATGGCTATTCATAGCCTCGAGTCAAGAAGGTACAGTCGGTGCAGGTGCAATAGGTGGGTACATAAAAACACACATGCATGCATACGAGTGAGTGAACGGCGTCAGATATAATATAAAATAACGTCAGCGAGTCTGATCAGCCGTCATTCTGACTCCTCAGAAGCCACTCACGCAGCTCTTTCTTAAAAAGAGAGTGCTGCATATCACGCATCGCTGGTGGGAGTCTATTGAACGCTGTCACGTGAGAGTATAAAAACCTCCGCCTCCCAGACTCTGATAAAATCCGGATCCGAGTTATATGAGCGACTGTGTGGGGTGGGGTAGACTGCTACAGCCCCACGGTGCGGTGGCCACCATGCAGATGAGAGTTATCTCAGGCTGTCGCCGCTTGGAAGGGACCAGGAACTGCGCAGCTGCGGTTGTGACCACAGAAGTGGTCCTACCGTCGACACCCCCCCCCCCCCCCCCGAAGCACATCCCTTCGTGTCGGAGCCTGTCGGTGGCAACTAGGTCGGCCTCGGTCTATTTCCGTGGCTATTGCGCATGTATGGCCGGTGGTCGCTGGTTATCGGTCATAGTTACACCTGGCTCTGATGGCCCGACAGACACTGCGTCCGCTAAGGGCTTGTCGATGTCTGATATCAGGGACAATGACTGGCCCAGGCAGGAGATATCGTTGGTAGGCGGAGTGGAGCGATGTGCACCAAACTCACTCGTTTCTGTGTCAGCTTACCATTAGCGTCATGCTAAAATTCAACATTGCAATGTTGATTCCTGTCCGTCTCCCTGTCTGTCTGACCGTCTCCCGTTCGTCTGTCTGTCGTCTCCCCGTCTGTCTGTCCGTCTCCCCGTCTATGTAATCGTCTCCCCGTCTACCTGACCGTCTCCCCGCTGCCGGGCAGCTTTTTGTCGCGGTATTGAGCGGCTCGCCGGGCTGTGAATGGCAGAGTCGTGTTTTTACCTCTCGCAGCCCGCCGCCGACGCAGGGCGCTAGCTGTAGCCGCTCGCAATGCATGATGAAGAAACACCAAGGTCCCTCTCTGTATACATTTACTGCTTGGGGAGTTTTTGGACGTCTGGTCATCAGCGGGCCTTCCAGACTGCAGACACCCCAGAGCGGGGGGAGGGGTGAGGAGACAGACAGGTATCGCTGCCGCTGCTTACCCCTTGTGACGTCAGACCAATGAGTCACCGGCGGCGCGGCGGCCGGCGGCCGGCATCGGCGCGCGCTGGGGCAGTGGGCGGCGAGCGAGGCTGTGGAGAGGGGCGAACGCGACCGCGCCGAGATTCGTGCCGTGGCGGTGTGAGGATGTGTTGGTCGGAGGATGTGATGTGATGTGCGAGTTAGGCGGTGGAGTTTGGAAATACGGCGGCCGTCGGACCTGAGTCGGGTGTCGTCTCGTAGATATCGTCAGTGCGAGGTGAGATGATAAGGGACGGTTTGATGAGCTGGGGTGAGGTGAGGTGAGGTTCGTTTGGGTGAGATGACATGGGATGTGATAAGATGAAGAGAGACGTGCGTAGTGCTGGAGTTTTGTGTTTGGTGATGAGCTGAGGTGGTTTGTCCCCTGTAAGTTGCAGTCTCTGTTTGCATTATAGACTGATGGCAATGCCGAGCATACCGCTACTTAGTACCCAACTACCCAATGCTATCAGAATAGCGGCTTTGTATGACGGCAGCCCTGAGTGTCCTAAGCCTCGATATTGGAGGTGAGTTAGTTTGTCCCCTATAAGTTGCAATATATGCTTGAACTGGAGACGGTTGGCAATGCTGAACGTACCGCTACGTACAACACCCAAATCCCAATGCTATCAGAACAGCGACTCTGTGTGGCAGCAGTCCATAGCGTCCAAAGCACCGATATTTGTTGCGTCATCTTATCCTGCTCGGGCTGCTGATAACAGCCTAGACCTTTAGCTGAAGGTTCGGGTGGGCTCCTTTATCAATACATTTGATGTGAGCCCAAGTCAAAGGCGTTTTCGATTTGTCTCCATAGCTCTTACCTTTGTGCTATTGTGTGTGGATTCACTGACCAGTTAACCTGGCCCGACCTGATATGCACTGGCCTGTGTGCCTCGGTCACAAACTGTATCAACTATCATTTGACCCGACCTGTATGTTTCAAAAGCTGACTGTATTTGACCTGTGTGCCCTACGGCGCTTTCTGTACCGTCTGACCTGACCCGACCCGTGCCCCCTCAGGCGCCGGGAGCGGCCGGCCGCCATGGAGGACCGCCAGAGGCGCGCCCTGCAGAGGGCCCACTCCAAACTGGTCAAGGACCTCCGGGTGGACGCAGTCACCGACCACCTGCACTCCAGGGGAGTCCTTAATGAAGATCACCTGGAAATCATCTCCTCAAAGGTAATCACTGTCCTCACGGCGCTCTGGCATCTGCGAGAACTGATATATGTGTAGTTGTGTACCGATAAAGGCCTCTTAAAGGAAAAGGGCCACCTTCGTGAAATATGAAGATAGGTATCGTTGTTTTTCATTTTGACATTATTATTTTTCATTTTCTTTTTAAAACTGGTGCCAGAAGTGCACAATTCGCGAAAAAGTATTTAAAACTATTTAACATATTGGTACTATTTAACATATTGGTACTATGTTGATACTCTCTACGGCACCTACTGTATGATGGCATAGCGATGACGTCACACTCAAGCCAATCAGCGTTCAGAAGACAGACTCGTCGGATTGTGTCAGATAAGCTGATTGGTTAAAGCTGAGCTGGTTGGAGCTGATTGGTAAAAAACCAAAGCCTCGCCGCGGGTGGCTGTATTGTCGGATAAGAACGCATTCCTGGGATAAGGACGCATTCCTGGCGTATTTTCTTTTAAAATTGCCGATAATGACGATGATGATGATGACGCAACAAACGGGCTAATGTGGTGCCGATTTTTAAGAAAGGTGACAGGAAAGACCCGGCCAATTACCGCCCTGTGTCACTTTTGTCAATTTGCTCCAAAATTCTCGAGCGAGTAGTGTGTGACCAGTTACTTGTGCACGTGGCCCCTGTGTTGTCTCCGGCTCAGCACGGGTTCCTGGCCGGACGCTCCTGTGAGACCAACCTGACCTGCCTCGTCAAGCAGTTGTGGGACGCTATCGCCTCGGGCCATCAGACTGATGTTATTTACACCGATTACTCCTCTGCCTTTACCAGCGTTAACCATTCTCTTCTCCTGCACAAACTTCGTCACTCCTATCATCTTTCCGGTTCTGCCCTGCGGTGGTTCGAGTCTTACCTCTGTGGGAGAGAGCAGCGAGTGGTGGTCAACGGGAAGACGTCTGGCTGGGCCCGTGTTGGGTCGGGCGTGCCGGAAGGCAGCATATGTGGGCCGATCTTGTTTATTTTATTCTGCAACGATTTACCATCTTACCTGAACTCGTCGTGCCTCATGTATGCTGATGACATGAAACTGCTCCGCCCGGTTCGCACGCTTGATGACGCTGTCGCCCTTCAAAACGATATACATAAATTCTGTACATGGTCAACTACTTGGAAGCTGCAATTGAATCCCACAAAATGTAAACAGATTACATTCACTCTCCGCACTAAACCAGTCCATTTCGACTACTCCATCCATGGGATCACCTTAGATCGTGTATCTGTGATGCGCGATCTGGGTGTGCTCATGGACTCAAAATTAACTTTTGGGCCTCACGTCGACGGCGTCGTCGGGAGTGCGAACCGGGCGCTTGGCGTGTACTTGCGCTCGCTGCAGACCTCTCGTGCTGCGAGGGGGAGACGGTTTCGACCTGAGCCTCTTATCACTGCTTTTAATGCCCACGTTCGCTCTGTGATAGAATTCGGTAGCATAGTATGGGCTGGGGCCTCAAAAACACATATACAGCGTCTGGAACGTATCCAGCATAAGATGCTCATCTGGCTGGCAACTCATTCCACACGGCCCTCTCAGTCTCTCGATTACCATCAGCTTCTGTCTCATTTTGGTGTGAGTTGTATTCGGGCAAGGTTGGTGCAGCGCGATCTCACTTTTCTTCATTCGGTTTTCTCTGGTCGCATTAGGTCCACCGATATTGTTGGGATGTTTGGATTGTGTGTTCCATGTAGGCGGACTCGAGGACGGGCGATACTGCACGAACCCACCGCAAGGGTGGAAACGATAAGGGCCGGAATGTTTTGTCGCTTACCGAGACAAGTGAACGGCATGTACGAACATGTGGCATCTGTGGACCTATTCGCCAGTCGAGGAACTTTTATGAAGTCTCTTAGAGCCTTCTTAATCTCTCTGACATGACTATACGTACCTATATTTGACAACCCATGAGCACATGTATTTATAGGTTTTAGTATCGGACTGCGTCTGTAAATGGGTGTCATACCTGTGGGCGTTCAAATAAATACATACATACATAACTACGAATGGAGGCCGAAATCGGCCGTAAGGAGGTAGACAGCCAGGTTTTCGGACACGGGCTACAAGATGGCTATCTCAGTTTCAATCCCCATGTTAAAGGTGGCCCTTTTCCTTTAATGACTCAGTTGATGGTATCCCCCTAATCATCAGGCTTAACCCCCGAGTTGCTGGGGGGGGGGGGGGGTTAAACACCCCCACTTTTTTCGCCGGCCAAAAACGGCGCAAATTTTGGGTACCTGTAGGGAATTGATTGAAGTTTATTGTGACGAAAGTTTCAAAGAAATCGGTCGGATTTTTTTAAGATATCGAGGTTTTAGTGACGTCATGATTTCTGAGTTTTCGACCAAAAACGGCATATGTTCAAACAATCATAAAATCACAAAAAAAGACATACAGATATGCCGTAAACGTCATTACACTGCCAATACCATGGACAATCAAATGGCTATCTTGGATTATTGCTTATCGTTCCGCATTTTCCAAAATCTTGAACTGAATCTTGGCAATTTCTCGTGACTACTTCACGACCATGATACCTACATGCATTTCTTAAATTGAACTTTTTAAGCCAAACACGTACACATATGATAAAATGAATGTCACCATCGTATTCTACGCCCCAAATTACCCATAAAACATGTGTCACAGGCTGCGAATTTCAGTTTTGATTTTCGGGGATATGTGCCTACCCGGCTGACCTGACCTTGACCCTGACCTATGCTTGACTGACCCCTACATGGAGCTGACACTCTTGTAGGCCTTATATGATGGATTGTGCACCGTTTTGACAGAGTTTATGACGAGAGGCGCCCGTTGCGAATTCCTGAAGTCCATGCTACTGAAAGCCCGATTTCAGGTGTTTGACCTGACCTTGACCCGACCTGTGACCTCAAAATTCAACTTTGAAGTACTCATCTGAAGCGTCTCGTCACGTTCTTTCGTTTGCCGCCTCGTGCGTTTCGCTGCGCCTATTGGTTCTCGAGTTATCGGCTGGGGGCGTTTAACGCCCCCCCCCCCCCAGCAAACGGTGGGTGGCGAAATACCCCAGCAACTGCCGGGTTAAATCATGAAGTTTCGCAGAGGAGTGAAAGTCGTTTTATTTGAATTTTTGTCAAACTGTTTATTGAAAATATCAAAAGCCGAGTAGTATATCCTACTAGCTGGTGACTTGAAAATTATTTATCAACAACGCTTTAGAGTATCTTTCAAAGGGGCCTAATATGAACGAAGTCGCGGCCAGCACCACATCAACTGGTATTCCTTCGGTTCAAAAGTGTCTGAGACAAAATTTGCTACCCCTGTTCCCCTACCATTGACCGTTGTTTTTTCGCCCGCCAGCCGACTCGGAAGGAGCGAGTGACTGAGTTGCTGAAGCTGCTGCCCCAGCGCGGTCCCGATGCGTTCCCGGCACTGGTGGAGGCGCTGCGACGCAACTACCGCTGGCTCGCCGACGAGCTGGAGGAGTACGTCCACGAGCTGAACGACTCTAAATCAGAGGCTGCGCAGGCAGCTCTGGAGGAGCGTCTGCGCGCCGGCGCCGTGCCCAGCCTGCCGGCCCCGCACATCACACGCAAACAGTGCGTCGCTGAAATCCGACAGCATCTGAAGGAGCTCAAGGAGAATCATTTCCTCGGGGTGCACGGTATGCCCGGCATCGGCAAGTCCGTCTGCATGAACGAGGCACTAAGAGACACCGAGCTGCTGCCCGACCGCTTCCCGGGCGGCGTGTACTGGATCAGCGTCGGCGACGTCGACCACGAGGCGCTGCTGAACAAGCTGCAGGCGCTGTGCGAGCGTCTGACGGAGGATGGCTCCACTGCCGCCCAGCTGCCGCCCACCATTGAGGTGGCGCGCGAGCGGCTGCGCAAGCTGCTCAACCGGCTGGAGCGGCCGTGCCTGTTCGTGCTGGACGATGTGTGGAAGGCCGAGGTGCTGGCGGTGTTCGAGCTGGGCGCGTGCGTGGCGGTGACGACGCGGGACGCCGCTGTCCTCGACCGCATGGACGGCCGCTCGGTGACAGTCGCGGTGAGTGCCCCCGACCCCCTGCGTCCAGCAGGCTCAGACGCTGGTTGGACGGTAGGCGGAGTTGGGAGTGGGAGGTCAGTTATCGGATCTGTCATCGGCGTTATCCACCATTTGACTTGCTGCTGGTTCCGTAAATAGTTTTGCTGGTAGTTACTCCCCCCATCACGTGAACGCCTGCTCAGAAACTTGTGTACTCGATTTATTTATCATTTTCATGTAACGAGCATCTGCTTCTCTTGTACCCTTGTTTCAAAGACAGCCATCATCACTCTTGTGTTGCTGTTTTATAGAAAACAAACTACCAAACGGAAGGCAATCCGCTCTGTTCACCTCTGTTCGCTCAAGGCACCGAGGGGCGGACCCGACCGAACCCAGTTGACCCTACCCTTCTGATCTAACCTAATCCGACCTCCGGCCACAGCTGAAGGGCGGCTTCAGCGAGAGTGAATCGCGCGAGCTGCTGGCTACCCGTCTGGGCATGCCTCCCGACCAGTTGCCTCCAGAGGCGGAGGTCATCCACCGGCGCTGCCTGGGCTCGCCGATGGTGATCGCCCTCCTCAGTAGCTTCCTGGCTGACAAGACGGGCCGCCGCGAGTCCAGAAACCGCTGGCACAAATGCTTGGAGATTCTGGAGCAGGGCAAACATGAGTGAGTAGTGAATCGGACTGCGGTGGGGTACACCGTTCCATGCTTCTATCCTCAGGATACTGAAATCCTTCTCCTACACACCGCCACCCCCCTCCGGGCTGGACAGGCAACTTTATCTCATGCGGGCTGCTCCCTTGGAGCGGCACCGCTGCTCCCGAGGGAGCGCACCCCGTAGCCGGGTGCAGTGAGTGCCTTGGGGCTGGGTGGCCTGTCTTCGGACGGGCTCAGCCCCGGCGACTCACTAGGGTGCCTGCCCAGACCAATGTCTCCCCCTATATCCTATCATCCTCCCGGCTCTGAAATGGTCTTACTGGACCGAAAGGGCCTAACCCAACAAAACAAACAAACAAACAAACAAAGCGGTGGGGTATGTCTCAGGTAATGTCGGTAATGCATTTAAAGGTAGTGTGCCACCTTTGAAATATTTCCCATTTTATTTTTCCTAGGATAAGAAGCTTCTGTTTTTACCTAATATCGCAAAAAAAATCAAAAACGGGCCTGGAATAGTGCCTTTTTCGCCTAAAAGTTAATCGGTTTTTCGATATGTATAACAACTGTGGTGGGCTGACGTGCAAACAGGCGTCGGCAACAATCGCGAATGCGGCGCACATGTGACAATAAGCAAAGGTCATTATAGAGTTACGACGTACGGGAATGAGTTATCAGCTGTCTAATCGTAGACAACACAATGTCAAGCCTTAACCCTCGCCGGACCTATTGATAGATAGATTGATAGTTTATTAAGACCCTCCATTGACATGGTTTTTATGGTGTCTACGTCAATGACAAATAAACAAACATTGTAAAAACACTTAGGCAAGACAGGTGCTACATAAAAAAATGACACACTGGCATAAAACAGTGAATATAAAACACATGTGAGAACCGTGCCTATACCTACATGACAAGTTACAGCTGACTACCTGTGGCTGTTCCACGCACTCGCCGCACGATAAAGAAAACTTCGGCGAGCAAACTCGGTGCGGACCCGGGGCAGCCGCAGCCGGCCGTCGGACACGGCGCGGGTGCTGCGGGATGACACATCGGCTCGCAGTGCGAACTGTTGGCGCAGAAGTTCGGGAGTGATAGATGAGTCGATGATGCGAGTGACGTTTGCGAGGTCACGCTCGGCGATCAACTCGTCTACGGTGGGCCACCCCAGTTCCCGTAGCGCCGCAGTCACGTGATCGCGCCGTCTAAGACCGCTAACAATACGCGCACCAAAGTTAATAGCTTTCTGGATGCGACGCTTCTGTGTGACCGTACAGCTTCCCCACACACTTAAACAGTAACGTATGTGGGGAAATACTAGAGCTTCGATCAGCAGCTGTCTTGTGCATCTCGGTAGCTTATGCCGGATCCTGGCCAGGCACACCAGTACGCAAAAGCACTTACGAACAACACCCGTGATGTGTTCATCCCAAATCAGGTGAGAATCGATGACGACCCCCAGAACCCTGACACTGTGGTTTGGTTTGAGCTCATCGTTTCCAAAATGAATCGAGAATGTTGAGTCAAGATTTTGACGTCTAGATTTCATTATTATCAGTTCAGTTTTAGCTGGGTTAATTTTCAGACGATTTTGGGTGAACCATCTCAGTCCAACTGAGAGAGAAGTTTCGATGCGGTCCTTCAAGTTTTGCAAGTTTGTATAATAGTCAGTGTCAAGGAACTGGGTGTCGTCAGCGTACATGACTAATTTACCATGTGGAATGTGCTGAGGTAAATCATTGGTGAAAATCAAAAACAAAATCGGCCCCAAAATCGAACCCTGGATCACTCCATGAGACACGTTCATAGCAATTGATCCACCGCTCACACACTGTGTGCGTCCTCTCAGCCAGGCCGAGAACCATCCGGAGTCAATCCCGTACCAACCGAGTTTGTCCAGGAGACGGCCATGCTCAACGCTGTCAAAGGCCTTCGACGTATCAGCGGTGACAAGTGACGTCACGCGGCCGCTATCGATGTTCGTCACCGCGTACGTAACAGCATCGAGCAGGGCCGCCTCCGTGGACAAACCCGGCCGGAACCCGTACTGCTGGGGACACAGGATGTGGTGCTCGCTTAAATACGTCACTAGCTGGGAGCAAACAACTCTTTCACAATTTATTTCACAACTCTTTCACTCTTTCAATATTGGTTTTCTACATACGCGCCGGCCGAGGGGGGGGGGGCGGGTACGACCCCCCCCTCGCCGTTTCGCCCCTGGTGGAGCTAGCGCGTCGCGGAAAAAACGAGCGTGTGCGCCGTTACGAGACGCAGAGATTGGTACCCGATTTTAAGGTCCTAGGTCAACCGGTGACCTCTGAGGTCAGGTCAAGTGCCCCAAGGTACGGTTCAGTTTTTGGTGAATAACTTCGCAAAAAACGGCCGCAGAGCGCCGATTTTGGCAGCATCGTGTTCGTCTCGCTCAGGCGCGTCGAATGATATACTTTTTGTCCGGGTCAGGTCAACTTGGGGTGTTGACCTCAGGTCAAGGTCAGGTCAGCACCCCCAGGTCACGAAGTTGGTCGAAAGAGGTCATGTCGCATATCATTCGATTCGGCAGGTCTTCCTGAGTCCATTGGTGGCTTTCCCGACTCGCTAGCTCAATTTGATCAAGAGTTATTGACGAAAAACTAATATGACCTTGATGACGTCATAAATGACGTCACCCAAGGTCAACATTGCAAAAGTGACGCATCTAACCTTGCAAGGAGTGCATAAAATCACGATTCTGTGTGCTTGAGATAGTTGGAGATCGTTACCGGCGCCAGAATAGCAGTTTTCATTTTTCCCCATTGACTTATAATGGTGAGGTCACGAAAATGACCTGACCTCATATGACCTTTAGAAAAAATCCGAGATATACAAGTTGTGGGACTCATAATGGATACTAGATCCTGCAAGTTTCATTTCCCTGTGACATCTCCTCTGGCAGTGAGGGCGTTGCGAAGTTGCGACATCTGAAGACCGTGCAGAGGTTCACTTATGACGTCATAGGTCAGTGACCTGACCTGACCCAAAAATGCGGTTGGTGTCAAAAGATGCGGCTTGGATCAAAGGTCAGGTATGCCAAGTTTCAGCTCTCTATCGCCAGCGTGTTCGGAGCTATCGCGAAAAAACCCTATGGGGGGGGGCGGCACCCGCCCCCCCCCCCCCTCGGCCGGCGAGGGTTAAACTGTAAGCCTGTATTGGTATTGTTTCTTTTATTTGGCTGTCGAACATTATTTATGGTTTGAAATATGATTTTATGTAAAATAATTGATATGAAAAAGCCGTCTCTTAAGTTATGACCCCATTTCACCACACGCAAGTGGCAGAAATGACAATGATCAGCTGACGCATTTTTCTTGGCCGAAGTCAGAGCGCGCGGCCCGACGCACCACCACCGCACCACAAAGTATGAGCAGAAGCCGCGCCCAAAGCCAGGGCCCCGGTAACGTGAGGTAGCCGAGTCGGGGCAGCGTGCGCTGACCCAAGCCGGGGCCGCAGCTTTGGGCGCGGTCTACCGCATCCCCGCGGGCAGCCCCGGGCTATCACATGACACCGGGAGGACGCGCGGCCCCGGCTTGGGTCAGCGCACGCTGCCCCGACTCGGCTACCTCACGTTACCGGGGCGTTGGCTTTGGGCGCGGTCTACCGCGCCACCTAACAGGCGTGTTCGAAACCGCAGGAGATGATGATGAACGGGTTTATCGAAACTTGATTGGATGAGCATATCGGTAATAGCGATTTCAGTGTGTGCATTTATTGTTCATAGTGGTGTGAAATGTGGTTGGGGTACGACCGACAACCCGTCGGGGCGAATTTCGCACTGGGGTACTCAAAATTTGAAGAATTTAAGACGTTTCCATGAGTTTTGAAGGTATGGATAAGTTCTAAAAATCCGGTTCTCCTTATCTGGGCCATTAACTCCATACGGTCCAGGAAAGCTGGCACACTACCTTTAAGCAGTGTCACAAAATTGCATTTTGGCTTCAGTGTCAGATGTGAAATTCCTTTCCAAAAAGGGGAATGATGGGAGTTGAAAATGGCTGATTAGATGGCCCCAGAAGAGTGCAATAAAATGAATAGCATTTACTTCTATACAGGCGGTAAAATGAACGATGTAAAGTGGCCATCCACGCAATTTTTATGGGGAGCTCTTAAAAATTGGCGAGTGTAAAACGATTTTCATTTGGATGTTGTTTCCCCACCCAGATCAATAATTTTGGGTCACTGCATTTAAGTGGGCTTTGGTTAACGGCTAATTTTGGCATTTCAAGCAGTTTGAGGGGGGCGGGTAGTAAGTAGCAGAAGTTGGCGGAACGCAGGCGGCGCTGGCTTACGCTGAGATTCGACAATTACGCAATTTAGGCAGCAGGAACGGATATTTTAAAGGCACATCGTGCTCCTACTGCTGCCATCTGGTGTCCTGTTTGTTTGTTTGTTTGTTTGTTTGTTTGTTTGTTTGTTTGTTTGTTTGTTTGTTTGTTTGTTTTTTAACGTTTATTTTAATTTCTACAGGAAGCTGAAAACTAACATCATGGAAGCGATCGATCTCACGGTGAAAACCATGGATGAGCAGCACGACAAGCTGTTCGGTTCGCTGACCATTTTCGGAGCCGACATCGGCATACCTTGCGAGGTGAGACCCGCCAGACCCATCAGCTAGGCGCTACCTAACGTACCGATATAGCGCATCACGGTAGCTCGCTATCGTTTGCCGATTGAGGATATCAACATTTTTCGCGTAACTTCAAAAATATGTTAGGTACGAGTACCTTTTGGTGATGCAGTGAGTGTGTCTAATTTCTTTCCGTGGAAGCTGGCAGCGCAGGCCGCGGACGCGTCTGCTCCGTGTCGGCTAGGCACTGACCCTGGGTGACTCCCCAGGTTCTCGGCACCTACTGGGACATGTCCGCCGACGACGTGGAGGATGCCATGAACGATCTGGTCAACAAGTCTCTCGTCCAGGACATGGTCGACTCCAATACCACGCTATACAGCATGCACGACCTCATATTTGACTATCTGGCGCACAAATACACATCTGAGCAGGTAAGCCTAGGTAACTTTCAGAGAATGACATGCCTCGCTTGCGAGGGTCATAGCTGTCTTTTTTGTCATTTTGTCACAGCTGATGTGTATTTTGATTACCGTATACATAGCTAGTCAAGACTATTGCAGTTCGTTTGATGTTAACCTTTTGGTGCTCTTTTCCGCAGGAGCGCAACAAAGCTTTTTTGTGACTCAAGCTCCTTTTTTCGCCTCACATTGTTCATTTTCTTTCTCTCTATATTCTTCCCGCAAATTTGCGCGCGCTGAACATGGCGCGAGACCTCACAGATCTGTGTCAATTACCTCACGTTCCGTTCCTCGCCCGGCCTGCAGAAGGCGGAGATGCACGGGAAGCTGGTCGAGCGCTACCTGGTCGAGTACGGCAGCGACCTGAGCCGGCTGCCCGACGACGACTACACGCTGTGGTTTATCGGACAGCACGTGCACCGCTCGGGACAGCACCACCTGTTCCCGAGATTCTACTTCGACCTGGGCTTTGTGGGCAACAAGCTGCGGGTGACGGGACCGAGCGACCTGCTCAGTGACTTCAGGAAGTACGGAGAGTTCCTCGACAGGGTAAGCCGACGGCCGGCGCCGTGGTAACGTTTCCAGGGCGTCGATGTATATGTAGACTTAGAGGTCTTTATTTATGACAAATGCGTGACATTTGACAATCAGATCATTTGATCTTGCCTTATGGCGTCTGATACAGCTCTCGCTTCGTAGGGGCTCTGACTACAAAGGACAATGCATGCCCAGACAATCTGCTCCCAATTAACTGCTAGAATTAGCGCTCTCATTGCCGCCTTGTCGACGTTTATCATCTCGCTGCTTGTTTTAGAGTAGTCAGCTGACACAGACGCTAGCTGACGCCGCCCTGTTCCATCCCTCCCCTAGGACTCAAATGACAACATCACCCGCCGCATCGACTTTGAGAACTTTGTGCGCACGGCTGGCCACCGCGCGGCGGGTCTGTCCAAGGCAGACGACCCGGCGGCGGCGGCCGTGCAGCTGGCGCTCTGCCAACCGGACAGCTCAGAGGTTTACAAGGCCGCAGAGAGGATCTGCGCCGAGTCCAGCGATCAGCTCTTCTTCCGCTGGAGGTGAGGGTGGAGAGGAATAAGGCGAAGAGAAGGTGTATAGGAAAGGGATGAATGAATGCAAAGGGGGAGGGATGATGCAAAATGAAAGATAGTTATTTCCATCCGGTTTTTAACCACCAGTATTCACTCTTGGTCGTCGTTTTACTATTTCCTGGCTCCGCGCACCACAGGAACAAGGAAGCGATGCGTTGGTCGAACGTGCTGCTGACCAAGCTGTTCTCGGGCTCCGTGTGGGACGTGGTGTTCACCTACGAGGAGAACCTGGTGCTGGCCGCCTACGGAGACGGCCATATCAAGGTGAGCGGGCCGCCCGCGCGGACGGACGGCTGCGGAGGTCGGTGAGATGGCGAGATTTGATACCGGCCTATGAAAGACCCGCGTGTGGCTGAGCTGCAATTAAGTCCGTTGAGTTGTGACAAACGCAGCGTTTGAGGCTGAGTGTTGGCTTCTTGTTGATTGTTTTAGTGCTCCAACCAGGTTTAGTTGACTGGCTTAATATCGACTGGTCTGAATATCTGACCTGGACGCTGCACTGTCGAAGATGTCGAGTTTGAGCGGCGGCTAGTCGTGGGAACATGTACCCACTGCCTGAATCTCAGTCACCTCTCCGACGAAGCCATGTGTCTCCATGCCGTCTTGTTCACTGTGACCTGTTTCTACCCCTCGTTCAATATCACCACGCTCACCCCCCCCCCCCCCCCCTTCTGCGCCACAGCTGTGGAACATGCTGACGGGCGACGAGCACCGCTCGTTTCACGGCCACTCGGACCGCGTCAACCAGCTCACCGTCAGTCCCAGCGGCGACCGGTTCGTCTCGGCGTCCGAGGACGGCTCGCTGAAGATCTGGGACCTGGACGCGGCCATTATGGAGGCGCTCGGTACTGATGACGACCAGCTCACGGTGCATGACGGTATGCGGTGGTGGAGCTGTGCACTAACAGCATGGCATGGGGCCGGCGGAGTGACGGGACGGTGGAGTGGATAGGAGAGGGAGGATGGGACAGGCACGGTGGAGTGGGAAAAGGCCGGAACACAGCTTTTCAGCTCGCAAATCGCGTCTCGCTTCTCCCATTGCAATGCATGGCATATTTTCAGCTCCCAACACGCAGGTCGTCTCGCTTTTACGCCGCGAAATCACGCCGGATCCTGCTCGGAAAACGCGAGCGAAACGCGAGCGAAACGCAAGCAAAATCAGTCCGGCGCGAGTTGCAAGCTGAAAAGTTGAATCTGTTTCAACTTTTCAGCTTCTCTGCTCGCGAAACGCAAGCGTAATAGCGTCAGTAACCATGGAAACCAAATAAAGCACCTTGGCTTACGGCAATTTTAAGTCAATACCGGCGTGGCCTCCTGCTTCCAGCACATCGGTATTCATTGGATTGACAATTTTATACGTACAACGTATTAAATTGTTTAGTTTTTATATTTCGATGTTTAAAGAAATCTTAACACGTAGGTATCTTTTACTGCGGTCAACATAAAATGAGGAATCCGTGGAATTTTTTCAAAAATCTCCCTTTCGTAATTTTCTTCAAAATCAGTAAAACATACCTAAATTTGATTAGAAAATGGTAACTTTTACTTCCGTTCGAAAAATTATATGCCTGGCATGTAGAATTCGGGCTGTAGACAAATTTTGACATTGTGGTCCTATTGCTTAGGAGTTAGGATGTTCAGCGTTTCAAAGAGTAATTTCATGTATTTCCGTAAAACCATAACGACTTTGTAGACAAAACTTTTCAGAGTGGCAATGCGGGGTAATTTTGCGGTGCTAGTGGAACAGCTTTGACGGTGCTCTCAGGATCGCTAAGCTGGAACGGCCGACTTGATAAGCAGTAGCGGCGAAACACCTTCATTTAATTAAGGGGTGGGCACTGCCCATTCTTTCCATGCAACACCCATAGGGCTAATGTTATAATGGGAAAATCAAGGGGGGCACGGTGCCCCGGTGCCCCCCCCCCCCCCCCCCCGTTCCCGGTTCCGCCACCTATGTAATGATAAGGTCGTCGTACCGAGCTGGTTGGGTTTATAGCCGTTGGCGGTGGCATTGCGGCACAGTCTGTCTCCTAGGGGCTCATCAAGACACTGCGCAAAGCAGCACGACGAAGTTGCTAGGGCTCTGCTCAAACCAAACTCATAGTCACATCGTCATCTCCAGCTAGTAAACACTACATATTAACAACTCGTTTGCAGACATCGGAGGCCTATGAGATGTGAGGATTTGAGACTGAGTTGAGTTATTTCTTTGATTGCTAAGAATTTTTTAATTGAAATTAGTCGATTATTTCCTTACAAGAATAAACACTAGTTCACGTTTTTCTCACGACAAATAAAATGCAAATGTTTGATTTAGCAGTGTATGCTAAGGGAGCACATTTTTAGTTGTGCAGGAAAATGCTGAAATAAGACCTGAGTCAAAATCGTTCGAAGATAAGTCCGACATCGAGTCAGCCTAAAAATGCGTAAAAGACACATGTCATTGCTGGCCCTGAAGCTGACTTGCCCGTAGCATAAAACCCAGGCCTCAAATTAACACCGGCCAAATTGCTCTACCCCATCGGCCAAATAACCCTGCTAGCGGGGCAATTTAGCTACTTTGCAGACCTTTGTAGAACGACAAAATCCAGCCATAAGTAGTTGCTCTATCATTTTCAGCTTGCTGTATAAGAAAGTAAAATGAATGCTACACCTGCCAGCCTTGAGAGAGTGCAGAAGTATGTCACCAGTTTCGAGCTACAGCGCTTCCTAAAAAAGCGGCCAAATTACCCCATCCTCCCCTACCAAAAAACCGAACCCGCTTCTTGGGCCACTTGACCTGCCTCAGAGGTCACCGGTTGTCTTGGGACCTTGAAATCGGGTACCAATCGCTGCGTCTCGTAATGGCGCACACGCTCGTTTTAGCAAAGATACCTACTCTTGCGTTAACTTGACTTGGGGCCAGCCTTGTTTCGTAGGCTGAACCACAAATAGGGGCGTGGTAAGCTTCAAAAATATTTCAAGGCATTTTGGAAATAAGCTTAAAAAGACCCATAGCCAACGCAAGATATTGGGTATTGGTCATTTGGGTCATGACATGACCTGAAGAACAATGTCATATATCCGAAACCAAAAACCACAGAAACTTGCAATTTTAATTGGACGCTGAGAAAGGATAGAGAAGCAGCTATACGAAAAAGCAGGGTTCTAGCTTTTAAAATATTTAGTTCAGAGCAGTAAAAACTACCTGGGGGTGGTACCCACCCGCCATGTGCGGGCGAGGGCTAAGTGGTTTCGTTGAAAATCGAGAGGAATTTCATCCAACTTCCAAATTATGCCGTGATTTAGCTACAATTCAATCCTGTTTTTTAATCTCCCACTTAATTTTTTATTCTGTAAGCATTAAACACTTTGCGTTTGTAAATTTATATGCTGTCCTCCATTTTTGACAAAATAATGAAAATATCATGAGCAACACGTTTACTCGAAAGTTAAACAAGACTGCAATGTCATGTTAACCCTCGCCCGCACATGGGGGGGAGGAGGTGGTTGCCACCCTCCCCCCCCCCCCCCAGGTAGTTTTTCTGCTCTGCACTCAACATTTTTAGAGCTAAAAGCCTGATTTCGTATAGCTGCACCTCTATCCTTTCTTGATGTTTACTGAAAATTTTAAGTTCCTGTGGTTTTTGGTTTCGGAGATATGACCTTGTTCTTCAGGTCATGTCATGACCCAAATGACAAATACTTAATATCAATTGCGTTGGCTATGGGTCTTGTGAGCTTTTGACACCTTGATTTTGGCCTGTTTTGCCAGTCTTATCTTCCACCTATCATGGAACATGTTGTTCGACGATGTACAGATGTCAAGGTCAGGGTCAAGGTCAACCTATGTCATCTAAAATCATTGCGATATAGGCAAGCTGAATTTACTTTTCGTGAAGTTTCTTTGACTGGATTTTTTGTAAAACCCTCTCATTTCATAATCTCATTTAATATGGACACATAAACAATCGGTGCACACATCATTATACACACATACACTCACAGACATGCAAACACATATCATTGACCTTGACCTTACTTGACCTGAAAGGACCTCAGCAGCAAAAACCTGGTCGGATAGTGTGACAAAGAGGTTCTAACTGGCTTGGCACCACAAAACGGCATCGTCATCGGTACCTGTATGATGAGCAGCGCACTTGATATCCAACGGTGACACAAAACAGCAACATTTTTTAGTTTGACCTGACCTGGAAGGTCAATGACTGACCTGAGAAGGTAAAACTGGGTATCATTGGATTTGTCTCTTCCCAAAGAATCTTTTTGGTCCATACCACGAAGCTCTATCTCCAACAGGAACGAAATGGCGCGGGAGGATGGCACCCCCCCCCCCATGTGCGTTCTAGGATGGGAAAATGGCATGTGCGGGCGAGGGTTAAGTATATCCTGTGATTTGCATAACGCAAAAGGAGAAACATGTAGTTTACTTACGGATGGTAATCGTTGGATTATTAGATTGAATGAATTGCTAGATTAGATTGAACGATAACAGTTGTTAGATTTGCCAGAGCGGTGTTGTATTCGTTTGAAAAACTTCTGAACAACCGATTGTGACCATGATACGTGGCAAACAATAACTGACTAAAATACTAAAATTGACTGAAAAAATTATAGTTAAGTTCCAATGTGGCATGATGAACTACCTGTGTGGCATGGCATCAACTGTTTTTAAGGAATTTCCTACAAAAGAAAGTAACTTTTTACCTGTGCTGATTTTAATCAATGATCGAGGAGAAGGTCATTTAAAATACCAAAGCTAAAAAAATCATCGAAAGAACGCCGCATAAAATATTGTCATGAAACAAACGGATTGATATGCTAAGATGTCACGTGCAAAGGTCAAGTGCAAACAATAATCAACGCGTTTCAGCCGCGATTTGGGAGCGCAAAGCGTTTTTCAAGCGAGACGCGTATCGACGCGGGTTGTGAGCTGAATTGCAAGTGAAAACACAGCGGACGAAGCGATTTCCACGATTGACGCGAGTTCGACGCGATTTGCAAGCGTGTGCTGTGTTCCGGCCTTAAGGGAGGACCAGTGGGGGATCCATGGGGGGGGGCTAACAGCATGGCACGGGACAGAGGTGACGGTGGTGGGTTGGAGTGGGTTAAGTAGGAACAGGGGAGGATGGGGGTAGGGGCACCAACAGCACGGGACAGAGGTGACTGGAACGTGGGGCGGGGCGGGGGAGGGTGGCCGGGGTTGTGTGAGTGGAGGTGATACGCTACGGTTGTGTTTGAGGAGGAGAGGCTGGTGATTGAGGAGGTGGCTTGGATGTGACAGTGCTGCTATTATCTAACTTACCATGGTGGTTAACTTTCACTTACTAGCGTAAGGACCAAATTAGTGAAAGGGCTGAGTTATTATGGCAATATCCCGAACGCGCACAGAGTACATAAGGTACTAAATGTGTATACATACTAATGTGTAAAAGACACCATTTTGTTGCACTAACCACTGTGTGTATCACAGCTATTGTTTTTCATAACCACGCTTATCACTGCTTTCCACTTATCTGCTGTATATCAGTGCATGAATGCATGTCAGCGATTGGAGCTTATCTCGCCAAGCCTCTGCCTAAGCCTTGATAAACACCCAGCCTATATTGATTCATTGTCGCGGCAGCACTGATTGCGTTATCGTGCTGAATGTGATTGCGGTAGCCTCTTACTCCTGATTGGCTCCATCTGAGCCGAGGGCTTGGGTAATTGTATGCATTTGCGACTCCTTCGGTCCCCTCGCTTGGGACCTCTAGTACCTATCCGCTCACGTCATGTTTCTATCTTAGAACGGTCCCTGCCTCCCACCCCTAATTGGGACACCGGTCTATGCAGACCTTAATGTCAGACTGTACCGCCCTACGCCATTCTGTTACTATCAGCTAGCCTTTATGTGGTGTAGTCAGTATGATATGTTTCAGCGTCAGCAGTTGCCGCCAAAACAGACATCGATTTTTGATACCGGTGCTATTGTTACCCATTTCACGCCATGGCATTGTCGGTACGCCGCACGATGTGCTCTCTTCGCCTGTCATCCTCTCTTACGTCCTCACCACTTCTCACCCATCCTCTTACTCAGTCTCACCCGAGTCACCTAACCACCCTCTCACTCCTGTCCCGCCGCGCTCCACAGCGTCGAGCGGTCAGCGGACGCCCTCGCCGCGGATCCGCCACTCGTCCAGCTCGGCGTTCTTCCCCGAGTCTCGGAGACCGAGCGGCCTGCCGCGCCTAGACGACAGTGTGCAGACGCTGGAGGGGCACGGCACGGCCGTAGCCTGCGTGGACTGGTCACCAGATGGGCACTACCTGCTCTCCGGCGCCGATAACGGTGGCGTGAAGGTGGGTGGGGGTGAGGTTGGGATGGGAAGGTGGGAAAATGGTGACGCTCGGTGCTGGTCTGGTATGAGCTAGTCTGGTTCAGTTGCACCAGAGCGACGGTGGGATGTTGTGGCTGATTTTTTTTCCTGGCGTCGAACGAAAGATGGTCTGAAAAGTGGTAAATTACGGTTGTGTGAATCCGTGTGAGACTTTATCAGGTTCTTCGTGACAAACCTGCCATGATTTCGCCTTGACTTTTTTGTCACAGAAATGTGACTATCTTAGCCCAACTTTATCGATCATAACCCTCTGCATTTGTTATCTCAGACCCTGACCTCGTTCTGTCTGCCCGCCAGGTGTGGGACTGTTTCGGCGAGGAGGTGCACAGCCACCCGACCGCTCACGAGAAGAACGTCACCTGCTGCTCGTTCTCACCCGACAGCAGCTACTTCGCCACCGGGTCGGCGGACGGCAAGGTGCGACTGTGGTGTACCGAGAAGGGTGACCAGCTGTACACCTTCAGCCAGCACAACCTCCGAGTCATCTCCCTCAGTCTGAGCAAAGGTGGGTGATCGCACGGCCGGAGGTATTGGGGAGGAGCGGCCGGGGAAATGTGGCGAGATGTGGAGTCCGTCTGCGTGGGTGATGTGAAGTACTCGATACTGTGATCGCTGTATTTGTTGTTGTAACTGGGACGGCTGATGTCGCTGATCACACCACAGTACCGTGCTGTGTAGACGTCCGTACAGTGACAGTTGGGCTCGACTTGAGTGTAGGACGGCCGCTGTGTCGCCTAGCGTGGTCTGGTGGTCTGTTCGGCTCTCTAATGCCTCGCTAAAGGCGATTTAAGTCTGACGCTTGTTTGGTCGGCGGTCTTGAGTCTGACTCTGATCTAGCCGACCGTCTAACCAACCGTCTAAAGTTGATGAATATAGATCTAAAGACGCCTGTTCGCCCGGAGGTCTATTGTCTCACGGCCGTCTGGAGTCTGACACTGGTCCGTGTGGCCCCGCGCTGTGTCCAGGAGTCATCCCCAGCGCTCTGTTCTCGTGGCACGCGACTGCCTCGGACGGGCCACTGCGCCGGGAAGTCTGTCGCCAGGTCTCGGATGGGCTCAGAGCCGACACAGGTGTCTCACTCTTACTCGTACTAACAGAGCGCCCCGGGCGGGTGGCGGCGCCTCGCACTCCGCAACGGCGCGGCTTCGCTTCTGCATGGCTCGACATGGGGCGCGGTGCTGGCGGCGCTACGTCAATCCATTGGGGTCTAAAGCTTCCGCTGTGGATCACTTCGTCATTCTTGGTTGCATTATTTTGATTTGGTTATGGTTTTATGGCACTGGCGAGCTTCTGCACCCAAGGCTGCGGTGTGTTTGGCTCAGTGTTGTGTTTGACTATCCATTTGGGTGGTTTATGATGCACTGAAATTTCATTTCGTTTTGTGTGCCTTCTATTTCGTTGAAACAGAATGAAAAGTTAATTACAAAGTGATATTCCTTTTTTCTTTGGCATCAAGACAGGTGGTAGGCTCATGGTGTCATTCACGGGGGCAGAAATGATGTATCTTTTAAATGATCCCATAGGTGATCAGGAAATGCTTTATGTAACTGGAGAAAACATGCCTATTGTTGGGATCCATTGACTGATTGAGGCGTTCTTCATATTTCACTTGTGAGTTGTGAAAATGGCAAAGCTCGATGCAGCTGCTGTCTCCATGCTTCAATATCTTGCATTTTCTTTGTGTGGTTCATTATCACCTTTGTGTCTCCGTCTTTTTCTGCGCTGATTTATCTAGCTCTTTTTTGGTCTGTTGTTCTGTGTATTTACATTGCACATATTTGACATTGTTCTGTTCCAGTGGTGTGTCATTTTGCGCCTGTTTTCGGTGGCTGGTCTGTTGTCTGTAGAAAATCTGGTTCGTCATCTTTTGTGTCGTTTTGAATTTTTATGCATGCTGGGATCATCGATACTTTAACCATTATCGTACAATAGGATATTTTCCACTCAAGACCGGGCTAAGTCATAACTTATCCATAGGCTAGTCTCTTAAGCGGTGCGTGTGTGTCTACAATTGTGTTCAAAGAATATTGCAAAACAATTATTCATGATAAAGTTATAGAAGTGAATAAAATGAAAGCAATCATTATTAGCTGGTTTTCGCAGTTTCTCGGTAAATAATGCCCATGCCTCTCATCAACAAATAAAGAAAGTAACTACTAACCACAGTAATTAGAGCAGCCTCTGGCGATCTGTGACCGTCGCTCTGTCCCTCTCCCCAGACAACAACTCGATCGTGTCTGTGGCCGACAAGGAGATCTTCCTCTGGGTTTGGAACACGGACCGCCGGCCCAGCCGCGACTTCATCCCCGTCCAGATGGGCCGCTCGGCGGTCGACCACGACCTCTACCTGTGCTCGCGACTGAACGAAGACCAGCGCCTGCTGGTGGTGGGCACGTCGTCCAATATGTACGAGACCTGGGACCTGCAGGAGAAGCGTGTCATCTCCACACAGCGCGGCTTCGCAGGGTAGGTGGTCTGAGTGGTGAATGAAGGCGTGGGTGGTAAAAACCGGTCAGGATAGGAAAAGGGTGGGGGAAGCAGATGGAAGATGGAGGGGCTGGGACTGCGGAGAAGGAGATACAGCAGGGCGAATGAGAGATACAGCAGGGTGAATGAAGGGCGAGTTGAAAGACATGAGAGCAACGGTCGGATGGATGGTCGAGCCTTGAATTTGCCTGGCAGGCTGCTGTTTAGTTTTGTGTTTGAGATTATTAGTGCGAATACGGTAGAGTAACACAAGCACCCAGCTTCTGTATGAAAATTACATCGGTTTCGACACTGATGGCATGACACTCTCGCCAAACCTCGAGATCCAACCTTGCTCGAGTGATCAGTCACCTGACCCGTTCCGTTCCCGACAGGTCGGTCACCTCCCTGGTGTTCTCCCGTGACGGGAAGCAGCTGCTGGCCGGTGCCGACGACACCGTCACGACATGCTCCCTGACCGCCACACCCAAGGTGGAGGACAGCCTGCAGCCGCTCTTCTCAGCCCGCTTCGTGTCGGCTGACCCTCAGAGCCTCGTCGTGGCGGCCATCACGTCGAACAACGGCGTTCAGGTACGTCCGCTGCGCCGGGCCGAGCTGCGCCGCTCGACCGGAGCCGTCAGCATGCAGTGAGGACGCATGCCAGCTAACCGGGCGGGCGCTGGGCGGCGGGCGGGATGGGTGCCGCTCTGCCTGAGGCGCGCGCTGCTGGTAGGCTGACCCACTAACGGCAGGCAGAGGGAGGTGGCCGCTCATCAGCTGCTGCGTGCCGGACGGGTATGGAAGAGGTTGGCGGTGAGGGGTACAGATGGGTGGTGGATGGACAGACAGACACTGAATGGGTGGGGAAGGGGTCAGGATTTGGTGCGTCTATGGCTGGCTTTGGATCTTTTGCTCTTGATTTATGCAACAATTGTACACAGAATATTGTAATAATTCCATCGTATATTTTGTTTGGATGACTGAGTGGTTCTGGGGCTTTCTGGGACGCCTTTGAACATATTGCGATACCATCATATGCCTCAGCTGGACCTGACGAAGAAACTAGGCACGATTCCATGGGCGCGAAATGACCTTGTAGTCGGCGCGCCCTAAAGCCCCAACAAACACAAGACCTCTGTGGTGCATTAACACCGGAGTCAATTCAGCGTAGAGCGCGCTGTTTTGCGTGGAGCTACGCGCAGGGTTCCGTCACTCCTGGATACATTCCGAAAGAGCGGCTTATTTCGATGGGTTTTGTGTGGAGACCAAGTGTCTTGTGGAAATGCTCACAATGTGAGCTCTATTCGCTGTAAGATGTTGAGGGAGGGGGCTTTCAGGGCTGGAAGACGCGACTTGACTTCGTTTCACCGGGGACACCTCTGATCATACCCGCCTACCTCCGACCCGCGCCGAAGGGGCGCGCGTGGCGGACATAGCGAGGGGGCTTGCATGGGCGCTTGTGTGTGTGTGTGTGCTTGGAGAGTGCTGTTTCCGTGAACGGTGTGAGCCCGACCTTGTCTTGAGGCTTTGCCAATTGTGAAATAGCGCTAGATCACTGATAGGGCGCTTTTGCCACGCGATTATGCTACCTGCAGCCTTATGCCATGCAATTATACTGACGTCGTATTTGAATGCAAATTGTATATTTTGATATAAGATAAACCAAGTTAAAGGCGAACAGGGTTTTCATGGTTAAAAAATGTAAATATTGTGCACCAAATTTGTATATCCATAAATTGATTTATATAATTCAATTATCTTTCATGCATCTATCAAGTATCTTGGTTATGACGTGTCTAGCCATGAGTTTTGCTTAAGTTTTGCCGTTTTTTATTTGTTTAACCAGAATGTGTTTTTTTCGGAAGTGTTCTCTGCCTAATGCCTGTCATATAAGGCACAGTAATTGGCTGCTTACCAAAATTAGACGATGCATCAATGGCATCGATAAGTGGCCAGCTGTGTCTATTTGGCGTTCCGATTTACGCTATTTTGCAGCTGGAGCTTTCCCCATTGTTGCCAATCTATACATTGCCATTTCCTTTAAATTGCAACTTACAGTAGGTGCTCTAATCCAGTGGTTAATCACGTAAGTTGATGAAATTGAACCATTGTCTTGCAAGCTCAGTGTAGTGGCATCGGTCCTCAATCGGTTGTTGAACCTTGAACGGCCGAATCCCACTCGATGGCAATCTCCCATCCCATGATCTGGCGTACGGCCCGATACCGTCACCAGCGCTGTTAAGTGCGCCGTGTCTCCTCTCGTGCACTTTCCGCCCTCGGGACGTCACGTGGCCCTGTTTTGTGTACCCCGCTCAGCGCGTGGGTGCCGTTGGGGGACTGGCCCTGACATTCCCTCTCCTTGCCACTGTGATCCGGCGTCCCTCTCAACTCCGTGTGTCAAAAGTACGGCGTCCCACTCTGTTCTATATGTAGAAGCACGGCATCCCCCCCGCTCAATATCCGTACGGTGCTCTTTCCCCGTGCGGCATTCTTCCCCGCTCTCTGTACGCATTTGTGTCGTCTGCGCCGCCGATCGCCACACGCTGTCCGTCCGTGCACCACTGCCAACTGTGCTCCCCGCCGCCGCCCCGCGAGTCCATTTGAAACGCAGAGGGTTCCATCAGTAAGCCAGCCGCTCCTCTGCCTCTCGCCATCAATCCATTTCCTTTCAAATTTGCCGTGCTCCTTTCTGTTTTTCTCTTTCTGTCTGTCTCTTTCTTCCTTACTTCTTCTTTCTCCTTTCGTCTTTCTGATCGGCACATTTTGTTTGATCCGTGAAACCTTCAGGTTCCCTTCAGGCTGGACTCGTTATGTTAAGCCTTCTTCAATGCACCTCTCTCCCTCCCACCCTTCTCCTGGTTGCCCCCGTCCCCTCCGTGTCTCTCCGTCCATCCACTGACCCCCGTCTCTGCCGGCGGCGGCGGCTCTCCGCGCTGGCCGTCTCTGTGGCTGGGGATGACGCCGGACCCGCTCTGTCTCTCGGCTGTTACAGGAGCGGCGCGACGGCGAGCTCACGGTACGTGCCGCCGGACTCCGCCGGATTCCGCCCGGTGCTGTAGCTCGGAAACTGCCTGTGCTCTCTGTCTCTACCCTCTCCGGACCCGCGCACACAGACACTCTAGCTAGCCGGTGGACCGGCCGACTCGCCGGCCCGTCCGCCTCTGCCTTTCTCTCTCCTCTGTGTCGCGTGAGACGGGTCTGGCGGGTTCTCACGCCGACTGGGTGCGTCGCCGCTAGTCGTGGGCGGTGCTCAGTGGCCCTATCGAGCCGCCACCACCGCCGCCGGTGACTAGGAGGGTGCACCCCTTTCACAGGGGACAGACCGAACACAACTTGTAGCCAGGACTGTGCACGTGTGCTCTGCTGTGGCGTGCGCTCCGCTCAAACGCTGCTCCCGCCTGCACGACACTTACTCAGGCTTTTTTTAGTAGTGTCAGCTTACTCGTATCGCATGAAACAGCTGCTGGCTTCGCACTAACGTATCTAAGTATGCTTTGATAGTGTACTGTTGGGCAGTTTAATGTGTGTGGCTATTGTTTTTATTTGTTTTTATATCTATGTTTTCTATCAAATTACATCAAATTTGAGCTAAACTTGGGCGTCACTAAACTGCATATCAATCTTTTATCTGTTTGGCATATCGGCGCTTTTGCCTGGGCAACTTGAGTCGGCTTTTCGCTTACATCGCTTTAATGACGGGGGGTTTGTTGGATTTCAGAGTGGCGTTCACCGTTCCCTCCCAGCTGGGCGTTTACCGCGGGTCGGACACTCTGCTCGGCCGACTCCCCCCCCCCCCCCCGCTTCGGTCCCGTGCACGGCTGACCCTCGACTGTGTCCCGTTTCAGGTGCTTCGGGGCCTCGAGGGTAAAGTGACTAAAACCACCAAACCCGTAGGGGAGAAGATCATCATCACCAAGATCAACAAGACAGGGACGATGGTACGTCCGGTCGGGGAGAAACACATGCCGGGTATTTTGAAATACAATTAATCGTAAATGCAAAAAAAAAACTTTCACTGAGCGTGTCTTTACCTTTATGTTCACTGTAGAAAACACATCCGAACATTCGAATTCCTACTGGAAATATCGTTGCTCGCCTTGTCCAGCGGTGTTATCCCCTATGCCTACAACAATGCGGTAACCGAGCCGTCTGCTGTTGTGTGGCCCCCCGTAATCATGCGACTCAATCCTGTGACCCTCCCGTTCTCCGTCCCGTAACTCCCTTGCTCCGTTGTAACCAGACCGGTTCCGCGTCCCCCCTGTCCGCAGGTGGCCTTTGGCTGTGAGGACGGTTCTGTGGGTGTGTACCACCTGCCGCCGGCCGGGTCGGCTACCCAGGAGGTACCCGAGCCAAACATCCTCGGCAAACACAACGACCGGGTCATATCGCTCAAGTTCGGTCCGAATGATACGGTGGTCAGCGGCTCCGAGGACAAAACCATGAAGGTAGGCGGCAGGTCAGCCGGTTGGCGAGGTTTCTGCGTGAGCGATGGTGACTGAAGCTGCACGGGCTGCTGTTGATCGAGCTACGGTTGATTATTTGAAGCGTATGTTTGTGACTGTGCGCTCGTCAGAATATGAGCGGCAGGTCTGGACCTGCTTAGGATGAGTATTAGTGGACATCCATACATCATTTGAATGTGTTTCCTTTTATACTCATTCACGACTGCAGCTTTTTGTGGTAAGCAGCGTGCATCTGTAACCAAGACATCGTTTTGTGTTTCATTTTTCTATCTTAATTTCCGGCCTCTCACCTCAGACCACATCCCCCCAATGATGTAACCCATCCCTCGACTTTGACAGGTGTGGTGGCCCGATAACCGTAGCGTGGCGTGCGGCGGGAACGGTGGCGCCGTCACCCAGGTGGGACTGTACGAGGCGCGCGACCATGGCCTGATCGCAGTCTCCTGCTCCCGAGACGGCACGCTCAAGGTGGGTTGGTGGGTGACGGCAGGACGGTGGGACAGGACGGGTGGGACGAACTGACAGACAGATGGAAGGAGTGCTGTAAGTAGCAATTAGTTTGTGTGAACGGTCACAATTTGGTCGGCGGTACCAATAGGTGCACTGCTTCTTCTAGAGAGACGCTAACGGTATTGGCATTTTTAGAGCCTGGTGGGATCGGGAGAACTTGCGTTGGTGATTTCGGTGATAACCATTGGTGACTGCTGTATGTTAGGCCTGCTGCAGTTTTGTTAGTCATTCACTTTGATTTTCCGCTTGCATGTTGTATGGGCGTAGCAAACTGATAGATGCATGCCCTGGCTTATTCTGTTCGATTTTTCGTATGTTCTAATCTGCATGTTGTCATTTGATGCACTACACTAACTTATGTTTAACCACCTCACCACCTCCGCGGCTGATTTTTTTTATAATTGGTTTGTGCACGCCCGAAACCGTTTCACCCAACTGCTCCAGGGCTGGCGCGCTCCTGTGCATGTGCGCCTGCCGCGCCTGCCCTCCATCAGTACGGCCGATTTGTCCGAGAGTTACCGCACGGTGACACGCGTGAGTTGGTGCTGGTGGTGGTGACAGTGGTAGTGACAATTGGTTACGTCCGTCGGCCAGTGAACTATCGTCCATTGGGGAGTATGTGTGTATCATGTGTATGTGCTTGGGCTTGAGCTGTCATGGTTCTTTAGTTTTGCATTGGATGCAGCAGTGTCACCCTTCCCTGCTCAGGTAAGTCAGCGAAATCACGATGCTCTAACGGGAGCTCCGCTGAAGTAGTCGAACCGCTGGTGGAATAGCTTGGCTTGGACAGCTGGCCAGGCATTCGGTCCGTCAGCGGCTGGCGCTGTAAGAGTGCGGTATCTGAGCTGGACAGTGGACAGGTTATCTGTCAGTCAGCTTCCGAGAGGAAAAGAGTTGCCATTGTCGTTAATGACTGATGGAAGTTTTCGCCTCTGTTTGTTTGGGTTAGTGATGTCCTGTTGTCTCTAGGCTGGTGACATTTTAAGTTCCTACCCGTGTTTGTTGGTGATGTCCTGCGCCGTTCTTGGGCTGTTGGCTGGTAATGTCCATTGTCCATGCCCCTGGTTGTGCTGTTCGCCGGCGATTATGTCGTCTGGGGCAACGACCGTGGATGCTGTGCTTTTCACTGTCGATGTTTTTTTTTTTGGGGGGGGGAGCTTTCGTTTTTCTGTGCTAATTTGTCAATTATGTTTTAACTTACTGAATGTCTCTCCTATTTGTCAGCATACATGCAACATTGCATTGTATGTAATGTCCAATATATATGTTGAGTGTTGACCTCATTAACCTAATTTTATCTGACCAGCCCATCTTTGTTTACAAGTGTCATTTTTATTCATTTTGACTAAACCGGGTAACTTTGACCGCATAAACATTTCCGTCAACACAATCATAAACGCACATAAACATTTTCCGATCCATCTGACGGCCCTACGCCTTCGCCGCCAGGTGTACCGGGCGGACACAGGCAAGCCGATAACAGCGCACCTGACCCACGCCGGGTCAACGGTCACCTGCTACCGCATTGTGCGCGCCAACCTGCCCGACGAGAACGGGGCCACCAGCGCGGCGACCGCGGCGGCGCGCGACAAGTCGCCCTGTCCCGACGACCTGATCGTAGTCACTGCCGGTCAGTGGGAGGAGGGAGGAGGGAGGATGGGACGGAGGGTGAGGAAGAGATGAGATTGTTGGGGGTGAGTGGAGGAGGTCAGATGTTAAGAATCTGACCTGTTTCGTTGTATTATCCACGCTCATTAAAATTAGCGTAATACATTAAGGGTAGGGCAGACGGGTCAGTTTTTTATAAACGCGCATGATTATGAGGTGTCAGCACTTACACTGACTAACCTTGTACGGTAATCCTAGCCACCTTTCTTCTCAGTGCCGCACCTCCCCTCTCTCCATTGATCGCCTTCATTCTCCCCTGACACCCTCCCCGGTTCTCCCCCCGCAGGTGTGGACGGCACGGTGAAGATGTGCCGGCTGTGTACCGGCGATTTGATCAAGTCGTTCAGTCTGGAGGAGTTCGGTCCGGTGCGCACGTTCCGTCTGTCTGCCGATAACCACCTGCTCGTCACCGGGCACGACAACGGCAGTGTGGTGGTGGGTAGAGGAGGGGAGAGGAGAGAGGGAGGGAGCAGGGGTAGATCACTGGACACAAGATCAACATGGTGACAGCTGCTGGGGAAACTGAAAGAAAATGTGTTTTAAAACCGCTGGTGGGCTCTGAACGCCGCGAGTGACATTTTTAAGACGGAAGATTTCGCGTATGTCTACATAAATAGGTGTTCGGGAAGTGTGTAAAACCGTTGAAATGAAATTATTTCTTACAGAGATTTGAATCATTAGATCCTCCCCAATTTTCAGTTCGTCCGCTGCAGTGGCCTGCCCGGCACCTGACCCCTGATCACCCCCCTGTGTTTACATCAGGTGAGCCGGACCGACCACCAATGCAAGCCGCTGCGCCTTCAGTTCCATCACTCGATGGTGAACGACCTGGCCATCCACCCGAATGGACGGGAGATAATCTCACTCAGCGACAGCCTTGCGTGGTGGAGACTGGACGTAGATGGTACGTATAGACTAGAGGTGCAAACCACGGGTCTTCAGAGCCGGGAGTGTCGCCTGGTGGCGGCTTTACTATACGGCTTTACTGGTGGGGAAGTGTCGCCTTGGTGGACGGTTGGTACTAGAGGTGCAAGTTCCAGGTCTACAGAGCTGGGATTCGGAAGGATCTACATTGGAAGGATCAACCAGCGGCTCAATCAGACTGGATGATCCTTCCTAGAGCACTAATTATCGTGTTGTGTCGGTTTTGTTTTGTTTTCTCGTGTTTAGCATACCTTCGCATGTTGCTCACAAACCCCTTCCCCGCTCCCCTTCCGCAGAGAACCCGGTGTCGCCCCGCGGCCGGACCCGCGCCGGCCAGTCGCCGCTGGTGGTGCCCCCCTCGCCGCGGCTAACGCTACCGGCCAAACGCTACTTCAACTACAACCGTCGCACCTCGCTGACGCCTGAGATCCGCGCCACACTGCGCCAGGTGTTCTCGTTCCGCGGCACACTGGCCCGTCGGCTCGTCGTCTCCGATGACTGGACCACTCTGGTCACCATCGACGACGCGGGGGTGCTCTATGTGCTCCAGGTCATGTGACGCACCGGGGAGCCTAGGACGCCGCCCGGGCTGCGTGCAGAGGCGCCCGGGTGTTAGTGCGAAAGACGCACATTAGCTAGCTGCCTGCAGCGGCGGCCGGGTGTTATTGCGAACGACGCACGCTAGATGGCAGCAGAGACGGCTCGCAGTGCTCAGATCTCGCACGTTGGGGCATTTTGTGACGACGGCTGGTGATTCGTTTTGTGATTGCGTCCCTAGTGAGTACTCGGCTGAGATTTGCTCAACTGCCGCTATACCCATGCTGATGATTGACATGAGTTCATTGTATCAGGTTTTCGGCCAGGCTCATTCGTCAAGAAACGAAGGTTAATTCTATGCAGTTTTCTACCCTACAATGTAATATCAGCTTCCGAACCATATCATCGATATGACAAGTCTGGTGTCGTGTGATTTCTATTTGTCTTTTTCTGACGATTGACTAAGATTCGCGCAATGGTACAAGTATCGATCAAGTTCAACCATTGTGCCGTTGCTGACGAAGTCTTGCCTCGTGATTTCGGGGATTTATTGATCCGTCGATTGGTGATGTTCTTTGGAGCTGAACTTGACGTGTGGACTCCATAAGTGCGCCAGTGGATTGTCAATGGGTATAGGAACATTCGGAAAATGACAAACCTTGCCATTGCGTGTCCTTCCGTGATTGGTGGCGAGTGCGTCCGACTGGCTTGTTTGTGTGGAGTTGCCTGTTTGTTGTCCCACTCAGTGGTTACGCCGAGTGACGCGTGGCAGCGCTGGTGTCAGTCCTGGACTGTGTTCAGGACTTGTGGGGTATTCTGCTAACGATAGCAGGGTCCCGTCCGGCGCCACGGGAACGGACCGACAGTCAACCAGCGCCGCCGGTTCCAGGGAGTGTGTGTGTGAGTATCGCTAGCGAACACCGTGGACTAGTGGCTAGGTGTTAACAAAGTGACCCAGCGGCGGTCGTGGAGCCGACACAAGGCGCCGGCCGCCCGTCTTTCCGGCAGAGTGCCTTGTGTGCAATGGTCGGCTAGTCACAGAGGGAGCGGCCGACCGGGACGGAGGTTCCCAGCGCGACTGAGGCGGCTCGCCGCTCCGGCGGACAGTGTGAACGACCGCCCGCGGCCCGCAGTAAGGGGATTCCAGAGTCGCGGCGAGCCCTGTGGTGTTTATTCCAGACCGATCCGGTTGTGCGCCCGGCTGTTCGTTGTGAGACGCTTTATGTGATTTCTGCTGGCGCCTGGCGCGAGCTGATATTTTGGTGGTCCCGTCGGACGGTATGACTCCGGGCTAGCGGTCGAGTCCCGGGCCCGCCTGTGAATTGTGGACGCGTGGTCCGTCCGTCTGACCTTGTTTTCTACAATATATGTACTATCTGTCACTCGTCTTTTTTAAATGTTACTTGTGGATGGATGAGGAAGTCATGTGGTCGGCAAAAATGAAGTAACTTTCTACGTCTGGTATGAGAATGGCGTATCCTGCTCATCTCCTGTGCTAGCCGAGCTGAGTGCTTAAAATCAAAGTCCATTGATATTTGTTTTCACCTTTAGGCTGCATGCTCTTTTCTGAACGAAGCTTTCTGGGTGTCCCCGAGCCTGGCCGACTCATTTTCCTGCCCCCCCCCCCCCGTTCCCCCATCCGTGTCTCGACCGCTGTGACTCCGTAGTTTTTGTGGCCTCATCTGCCCCGAGGTGGGACGGGTGGTCAGTCGGAAGGGCTGGGAGCCGGCGAAGTTAGTGACAGCTGCCATGGTGAGCTGCAGGAGTGAGATGAATAGTGGATGGGAAAAAGTCGGCCTGCGTGAGGCTAATTAAAATAACAGTAAAGCAATACGATTTCCAGGGCAACCGGTCTGCCCTCTGATTTTGATCGTGCAGTCGGGCAGGAAAATAAAAGCGTTGAGGCATGGTAGTAAACCAGAATCTGCTCATCGCCTATACCGTCTCCATTTATTTTTCTCGTGGATGAAATGGCCGGATGCAGACGTTTGTAAGCAGACCGTCATGGTATCTGTTACTGCGGGTTTAGAGGCTACGACGTCAGCAAAATATTGCTGCTCCCTAAGGAAAACAAGCCAGACAGGAGCGTTCGTTGGACGGGTCTTTGGAAAACGCCGCCGGCTGTCTCCGATTGACACGGCTTTGGTCTGGCAAATCTCACGGGATATCGTTGCAAAAATATCACAGAGACGCGTCTTACTTCTGAGATGGTGCTTCTCCGACCCAGGAGACGGGGCTGCTAATGCGTGCATCGGCTTATTGTCTCCACAAACGGGGCACTCAGACGGTGTCAAAACAAACTGTTACGCTGCTGGCACGATGCGAGGCACAGTCTTACGTAATTATCAGTATTCAGAACACCCCATTGTTTGGGTTGCGATCTTTGCGAACGGTTGAGCTCAGGAGAGATCCAGTTGGAACAAACGCCGATCGTCCAGTCTAAATTTGCAACATTTTTATGCAATTCGAGTCGTCCCCGGCTTAGGTTCGCAATGTTTGAAAGTGCCGTCGTGACAGGTGAAGGACATGTTATTCAATGTTTATTTGCCGTCGGATCTGACCGACTTTTGTTGAGCTTCGCAGCTTCAACGGAAGTTATTCTTTCAGCCCAATAAAACATAAAGAAATATTTGACGTCTGTGAACCAAAGCATTGGATAAAGATGAGGATAGGAAAGGGATAACGATAAATAATCAAAACACCTCTTAATATCGACTCTTTCACCCATAGATAAATGTCTAAATATACCTATCTGCTATCGACACCTTTGAAGGTGCGCATGGAAAATGCATGGCATGCGCCAAACGGCCCAGCACGTCTAACTATACGGTATCTGTTTATATAGGATATAGGAACCAATGTCGTGCCTGAATGGTGTGTTATCTGACAAGGCAAACCTCGTATGTAAGTGTCATCCGTCTCATTCATTCAGCTGGTGGATGAACCGGGAGCAGCTCGCCCTGCTGGCGCAGTTGCTGGGGCCAGGGCAGCTCCTCTGCACGCCCGCTGGGTGTGGTACTGTGGTGTGTCTAGGAGGGGGCGGAGTCTCCGCGGCCGACCTCCCCGCCAGGTGCGGGCTGCGGGGCGGGCCGGCCGCGCCGTTCGCCCCCTCTCCAGTCGGTGTCGGTCGCCGGGGTAACGCCAGTCGGACTCGGCCGCCCGCCGCCGCCGAGCGCACCTCCCCTTCGCCGCGCCGCCCCCGCCGACGGCGCCTCCCGGAGCAGCCATTCGGCCGTTCAACATCCGCGCTGACCTGATCCGCGTCCCGACGGAGAGTAGCAGCCCCAGCGGCGGCATGGCTGGGGGCGAGAGAGTGCCGCCGCCGCCGGCACAAGCCGCCACCAGGCCGGCCGAGACGCCTCCCAGCACCGGCAAACCGGCCGAGGTGTCCGCTCAGGGAGCGGCGAAATCGGGCGGTAAATCGACAGAGCAGTCGGCACAGGGCTCCGGCAAGTCCGGTAAGGGCAGTGAACCGCCAGCGCCGGCCTCGGGGAAGACGAGCGGCAAGTCCGAGCAGCCGACGCAGGGATCCGGCAAGTCCGGTAAGGGCAGTGAACAGACATCGCACGGCTCCGGAAAGTCAACTGGAAAGTCCGGCGACCACCCTTCACAAGGCTCTGGCAAGCCCAATGGCAAGACCACCGAGTCAGCCAGCAGCTCGGGAAAATCGGGCAGCAAGTCGCTGGACCAGTCGGGACCACCGAACTCTAGCAAGTCCAACTCCAAATCCTCTGAACCGAGCTCTGGCAAAGCTAACGGTGGCAAGTCCGGGGACCAGCCGTCTCCGAAGCCGCCCGACAAGGCGTCGGCGAGTTCGGGCGACTCGAAGCGGCTCTCCTCGGACCGCCCTCCGGAGAGCCCGGGCCGCAGTCCGCGCCGCGCCAAGAAGAGCCCGACACGCGGCCGGGACGCCGTCTCACTCGACACCGGTGACGAGCGCAAAAACGGTAAAAAGGCGCGCAAAGTGAGCGCTGTCAAGGGTTCCTCAGCAGACAGCGAGCCACCGCCGGCGGCCGCGCCGGCCAGCGCGGGGTCCGGGGAGCAGCAGGCTGCGGCCGGCCCGGAGGAGGACGAGGGGGTGCAGAAAGTGCGCGCCCTGGGCCGCCGTACCCTGGCGCTCTGTCAGAGGTCAGACTGGGTGGCCGTCGAGCAGAGTCTGAAGAGCGTTGAGCGGGCCGCGCAGGAGGCCAACATCGACAACCCGCTGGCCGACATTGCTGATGAGGTGAGTTGGACGGTCCGGGAGGTCCGGACTGTACGGGCGGGTGGAGAGGTCGGAGAGGTCTGGACTCCGGACAGCCCGGATGGGGGGGGGGGTGATGGACGGGGTTCTGGTGCCGGGGATGAAGAGATAGACAGGCACGGATAGGTACTGACACTTGGTTACGTCACACCTTAGTCAGGCGGTAGCTTTCTGGGCGCTTTAAACGGTTCGGTAAACAAACATCCTGCTGTAGTGAATTAGGTATAACATAAAAACGAATTATTTGACGTTCAGAAAATAAAATGCCACAATGCCAAAATAGCTTATTATATTGAGTGAATCATATTTAGGCACATTGAATACTACCTGTCAAAATCACAAGACGGTATAAATATCCACGAACTAACAAACACAGCACTGACTGAGTGTATTATCATAGTTCAAGCTGTGTTCAAATATTTGCTAACAAGAGTTTTGCATTGCCGCCATTAAATGCGCACTAGCAAAACCTGCTTCATTTTTACTTTAGGTATGACTGATACGCGCGACTATGTGGTGCGAATTGCGGGTCTCGAAGTACTTATCGGACAGACTTTACGATACTTATTAATCTAATCAAAATTCTTGGCAAAATACGAACATTTTACATCAAACTATGCACCTATTAAAAAAGCATTTCAACTAATAATGGATTGAAAAATGATTTTCTGCATTGTCGCATTTAATCCTGCATTACAAGGAATTCAAACGTTATTCTTCGTTTTAATACAAGAGAATAGAAAAAAAAAATCATGTCGCTGTCACTGCGCTGGACTTCCATTCCTAATCCCGTGCAGCCGGACGATGCGCGCGTGGGTGCCGAGCCACCCTGCTCCCCGCCCGTGAACCGGGGAGTTGTATCACGGCAGTGACCTCGTGTCGGCGGAGTCCTGGGGTGGGTCGTTTGAGCCTGCCGGCCGACACAACAGCCCTCTCTGGGCGGTGTACACACGGACCGGGGTCGAATCAGCGCCCCTAACGGCCCCGTCGCAGGCGACGAGCCCACACGGCTCGCGCGATGGAATCCGGGACAGACCTGGCAGAACTATCGACGTATCGGGAACAGGGCTATATGTGACATCCGTTCTTTGCGCTTGCGTAAACGCCGTTGCGCAAAAGGACTTTCATATGCAGGTTTGCTGATAAATCAGAAGTGAGTTAATTCTTATCTTTTATTCACAGTTGTAAATGGAGAGTGGCTTAACTGGCTTATGAATATGTGTTATTAGGCACGTGTAAGCAATTTGTAGTTGCAAAATGCAGCACTGTCGGGTGCTTCTACTCTCGGTGGAAGCGTTTGCAACACTTTTGGTAAGCTTAACCCGCGCACCGACGGGGGGGCGGATATCCGCCCCCCCCTGAGGTTTTTCGCGAATAGCGGGAAAACCGCTACGCGCCGCGAAATTTGGTATGACTATTCCCTTATCAATTTTACACATGGTGTGCAGGTTTGAACCTCCTAACTTTCAAGGTCAGGTCACCAGGTCACTTTGAATGACCCAACCTCAAGTCACTTTTTTGCAACTTTGTCACCGTGCCAGAGCTACAGTAGATGTCGGAGGCCTTTGAAAGTCGCAGGATGTTATTAGGTCATTAGTAGCTACAATTTGTATATCTCGGAATTTTGATATCGGTGACCTAAGGTCAGGTCAATTTCGCGACCTCCCCATTATAAGTCAATGGGGGAAAAATCAACTCCCTGTTTTTACCACTAAAACGGGTCGGAATGGCCCCATATACCATACATGACTTCATATACGATCAACCTTCACTACCTTGAGGTCTGTTTTGCTGTTGGGCAGCTGTGAGGTCATGTGACGTCATCAAAGGTCACCAAAGGTTTTTGGCTAATAACTCCGTACAGGAACAAGATACAGACGCGTGGATGGTCTCATTGTGTTCAGCTCGTCAAGACGCATCGAATGATATACATGATGACCTCGAGGTCACGTGACCTGAGGTCAACCTTTGACCTTGACCTTTCGAGGTCAACATATATATCATTCGATGCGGATTGACGAGAGGATCACGATGATGCCCTTAGTTTGTTCCTATCTTGACTAATTCGAAAGTTATTCGAGAAAAACTCTCTCCATATTTAGCGCCGCCATTTTGACTTTTTCGACCCCTGTGAGGTCA